AAGTAACATATCATTAGTGGTATTGTAAGTAGTGTCTGTATTGTTTTGTTAGTAGTGTCCTTTCTGTTGCAATAAAAAAAAAATCATTACCACAACTGAGAGACACATGTATGTGTATAGCTGTAAATGTACCTGTACAGCTGTAACCATAAGCAAGCTATCCTGAGTGTTTCTCTGGTTAACCAGAGCCCCAGTCAGGCAGAAGGGTACTCGGGTTGACTTGAATAGCACCACAGTTAGCCTGTTTATGGTTAGCTCTCAAAAATGGTAATGGCTTCAATATATACATTGTATGGTGCTCTTAAGAAAAATACACATTACCCTATATACTCATTGTCCATTACCTGTTTAACACACACTACCTGTAAAAATATATGTACACGCTGCAGACTGTTTTATTACACATTAAATATTTTATCTCGCCACCTTCACACATGGGCTATATGCATGTACAATATACATTGTCAAGACAATGAAGACCAGGGCTATCATTAAAGGCTGCAACCCATAAAGTCTGTTACAGGTGAGTGTGTTTGATTGGCCCATGATCTAATGGTTGAAGTTACCCATTGTTGATACAATTCATCCATCAGTTAAGTAACAAGTTAGTTATTGGAGTGAAGATCGACCCAACAGGTAAATAAAAACTTTATTCATACATGCACTTCATTTAAACACAATAGAGACATTAGCTACAGTTACATTCGAGTATATCTTGGCTGACTGTATGTTACAAGAAGAGATAAAAAATAAAAAATAAAAATAAAAAATTGCTGTGCGGGAGTACAAGGAGGACATAAGACAATATATCTCTTTTTTAAAGTTAATAAAAGATCTAATAGCATGACATCAGATGGAAGGCTGCTCCACAAATGTGCCCCACGGTAGTAGATACTCCATTTCAAAAAAATCAGTGTGGGGCTAGGGCAGAGCTAATTTGTTTTCAATATTTCTGAGACCATACTGCGGGGTCTGATCATTCATAGTTTTAAACATTTATTTCAATTTTTTTTCTTTTTTCTTCTAATATTGAGATTATCCCTCCCTAGCTTACCACAGAGGGCAGTACCACTAGAATGGTAATCAGACTTAGTGATAACCTTTATGGTGCAATTTCGTTTTTTTTGTTGTTGTTGTTGTTGTTGTTGTTGTTGTTGTTGTTGTTGTTGTTGTTGTTGTTGTTAATTTGTTGGCTAACTCATTGGCAAGACCAACCCACACAGGACAGCAATAATCAAAATTTATATGGTTTGATAATAGCTCAACAGTATATAGCAATATAGCTGTTTCTTCGCATATGAATGGCCTCAACCTTTTAAGTACACCTACAGCTGTATACCAGAGGAGATAACCTTGGCAGTCTCATTAACATGCTAGGGACCATGACAAAATGTGATTGATGTACTAGACTCCTAATAATCTGGTGTGGGGCACTCTATCAATTTGGTGACCTTCAATTTGTATAGTAAGTGAATGGCCAATGGTATTAGCAAGTCTCTGACATAAGCCTGTTAACATAAGTTCGATTTTTGCAATATTTAGACTAGGTTTATTCACATTAAGCCATTCATGAAGGTTAGCTAGCTCAGCGTTTAGTGCTGATGTAAGTTCTTGTAAGTTACTGGCGGCAATGCTGATGCTCCCATCGTCAGCGTACATTCATGGTTAAGCTTTACTCAGGCAGTTCGGCAAGTCGTTAATTAATGTAAATCAGGATAAGGAGGTAGGCTTCCCTGTAGGACACCACAGGTAACAGCACCTTCCTATCACTTAGATAGGGTCAAACCACTTTAGCTATAGGGCCCCTTGTTCAATGCCATAACTTGCTAGCTTTCAGAAAAGAATCTTATGGTCAATGGTGTCGAAAGCCTCCTTTAAATCTACATGTATGAATATTACACCATTTATAGGACCGTTGTCAGTATTGACAAACCAACTGCTAGAAGCTTCAAGCAAGGATGTTAGTGCGCTATGAAGCGATCTAAAGCTGAATTGTCAGTTGGCTAAGAGATCATTACCATTGGCATACTTGTAAAATTGATTGAAAATTATTCTTTTGAACACCTTAGTGACAGCAGGAATAATCCAAATTGGCTGGTTATAAGTTATAAATGTCTTGTCTTTTGCCCCTTTTGAAAATTGGCATCACTTCCATTCAGTTGGAACAATACCAGAGGAAATCAACTGATTGAACAAGAATGTCAGGGATGGTGCCAGAACACTAACCGCTATTTTAAGCATCTTGGATGGCAAATTATCCAATCCAGTCACTTAGTTTCTAGTTTTTCAAGTACTTTTCGGACTTCATTGGAGCTACAACTTTTAAAAGAGAAATTCTAGTTTGTTGCATGGAAGACTGCATAACAAGCCAAAAGAATGTGTTTCAAGCTATTGTACATCTTCTTGGGAATTCAAAATAAAGCAGATCTAAACTGCTAAACATTACTCACAAATCCCACTGGTGGATTAAATTAAAACAATCAGCTTATAATTATAAAGACAATAAAAGTACTAAATTTTTAAAATCTACGCAGTATTAAACTACAGTAAGTGTACCTGCCATGTCTTAGCTTTTTTTGTCTTCTGATGAGTGTAAAGTACCTAAATGAAACAACAGATAAGCTTAAAAATGTAACAACAATATGCTTGATTCAAACAAATTATTTTGGTGAATAATAAGGTTATCTGAATGATCGATTCTTCAGAAAGCTCTAGGGACGACCGTTGACGTGCACATTCACAAGATATACATCGTCCAGCAATAACACAGGTATCATTAAGCTAAACCTCGTTAAGTCCAGCAAAAAAGAAAGAAGCCGTGATACTAAACCCTTAAGCTTACGTCTTACTCACCGAGTACTTGTCGCAAGACATGGCAGTCGACAGCACAATTGCGATAAATAGCTCCGAAGATTCTCTCCCAATTTTCAACGCAAAATGTTGCTTTACATCTAGTTTGACGGGCAGATTCTGGTATCTACAACCTTACAAAGCGTGGTATGACAAGAAACATCTTCGGGACTGTATGTCTTGGCGCCATATTTGTATTTGCGCGGGCCTGCCCGGGTGGGACTAAGTTCTCGCACCCTGTTTTCCTCATTTAGCTTCATTTGTTACTTCCAAAATGGAGATGTTAGAGTACTGCACGCTTGGAAATCTTTTCCTTGCTGTTATTTTCTTGTTGATTCTAAATCAACTGATTGAGCTGTATCAGTTCAGGAACATGCCGCCGGGATCTCGTCTGACAAGTCTGCCATTGACAGGGAATTTGTTGAGCTTTGATTCTGGAGACTCTCTTCGCGAAATCACCGCAAGGTTTGTTTACATGTTTACATGTACATCTTGTTGCCATCCACATGTAATATAAATTATAAGCTTACATGTGTGCCGCGGTCCTCCATGTTTGAAGTGAATACTAGGCAGGTTGAGACTAAGGGTGAAATTGGATACTTCTTGCATTAGGAATGTTCGATACTTCAGCATCCTAATTTTTCCCTCGACAAAGCCCCGATTGGGGGGTTTGGAGACGCCACAAACTGAAAGGAAAAAGTCGGGGATGCTGATCTTCTCCCTTAGGGGTGTAGATCAAGGATTTTGGTCTCTCTTAATTCAAACTTCAAACAAGCATCCCCGGCCTTTCCATATGGGAGCCCCCAGTCTCCAACCCAACCCCCCCACTCCCTTATGACATGCTCATGAATAGAGGTTATGAAAAATTCCCATCCCCAGGCCACAAAAGTTGCCTCGCCTTATGGTCATATCAGGTTATCTGATTCCCCCAAACCAGGGATGTGCTTCATAAAGGTCACCAATGGCATAGAATTTAAGTGCATTTTTTAAGTGCATTTTTTATAGTATTCTTCAGAAATCCTATGGAATCCTAAAGGATCCTTAGAAGATTTTCACAAGGGTTGAGCAATAAGCAATTAAGTAATTCAACATGTGTTGGTTGCCCCAGAAAATATTTTATTGTAGACACCACTCCTTACACAGGGTTTTTTGGTTTGAACCCTACCTCACTCCTTAGGGAATTGGGGGATTCCAAAAAAAATACTCATACCCTACCACGGGCGGCATGAACATTTCAACCCCCCAATCCTTGCCTTTGGAAATTCCAAAATGCTCACCTCCCCCCCTCCACATGCCCTGCGAATTCCAAAATCACAAACCCCCCACCCTTCCAGATTCCCTTTTATTTTTTTAAACTTCAACCTTCTGTATTCCTAGTTTGACTCCCTATGACTTCCAACAAAAGAGATTTTATGCTTCTACACCTTCCCAGAAGTTTACCAAATGTCTACAGGGCTTGAAATTGCAACCGATACCATCGCATCCATTTTTGACTAAATGTTTGGCACCTTAAACTTCCTCCTCTTCAGTAACAATTTTGCGACTAGTTTCGACTAAACTAGTGACAGAATAAAAATTTCAATTTTTTTTGTGTGTTAATTACTATAGAAATTAGAACATGCGTGGGCAAATCCTGCCAAACGTACCTTCAATATAATTTGCGAATAATATTCACTCGTTAAGAAGCCAATTTAAAGCGGTTTCTTTATGAATATGTATCCCTGATGCATGTAAACGAACATGGTGGGTCAGCGTTTGTGTTCAACTTAAAGGCCTCTGGAGCCCAATGTACAACCCATGTGCATGGTCGATCAATGCTTGTCTTGTATCTTGCTTTCTGCGGTAGTCAGCAGTTTCATCAGTTCGTTTGTGCTTTTACACTCCTGTCTGTTCCCTTTAGAATCCCCCTGCCCCCACCTCCATGCCCCCTGAATTCCGATCATAAGAACCCCTTGCCCTCAGAATTCCAAGAAGCCGCCCATGGTATATGTAGGTATGGATATTTTGTATTCTGACCTCTGGCCCATTTCTCAACAGTCCCGAAACTTTTTCACACCTGGAAAGCAATACCAAAATCTCAAACCTTATAATTATGGAGCCCTTTTATTCACATATTCTTAATATCAACAGAGTTTCCCTTCATACAAGAAGTTTCAGGCTTGCACACCTCTCAGTTTTTAGATACAGGGGAATTAAAAATGGCTTTACGAGCCCAAAAAGTTTTTGGGGCTTTCGAGAAATGGGCCCCTGACCTTAGACTTTCCTTTTCAATTTTGGGGCTTTGAGACTCCCATCCCCCTGGGTGGGTATGGATAATTTCTGGAACTACTACTTCTGATTGACATAAAATTACAAAAAGGCTGTTTAAAAGACAAATTCATACATTGCTTCTCATAGAGCTCGGATTTGAGGATGATTGTATCAACTGGCACCTATTACCTAGTCTTGATATTTAATACCCATAATATTATTATTGTATCGATCTCATGGCTGTGTTATTTTGTTACACATGTAACTTTCCCTTTTCACGATCCTCTTCATCATTACCGGTAGTCCTACTTATGGCTAGTTTGACTCATTGTACATGATTTCATGTTTTTTTAATTTTATTTTATTACGATTTTTTTATTTATTTTTTTTTATTACAATGTCGACCTTGATTAGCCTGCATTATACATATATGCTACAGTTTTAACTCATTCATGTGCGCATGCTCAATGAATGAGTTTTAGCGATAGTGGCCTTCATCTGGGAATCTACATGGACATTTAATCTACATAGACTTTTTATTCAGCATAGACAGAAATTAAATGTTGATTAATTTGTGCTGATGTTAACCGGAAATAACGGTGCAAGAAGAAAGGTAGTGAAGCGCGCTGACTAGGATTCAAACCTCGGCCTATCTTCGGTCGCTGGATTTTAAGACAAACTCGTTATCTACCTGGCCAACTCAACATTCCTGGGTTAACTTGTGCCAAGAAACGCTCTATATAGCTGGGGTGTTACCGCTGGCCATCTGAAAATGCCATGTCGTCGCCAGTTGTTTTTACAGATGTTGACTATCAACACCAGATGGGATGCATACTGTATTAGTTGTTGATAAACAGAGTGAATTTGGTTGGAAATATTGAAAAATTTTAGAATTTGGGGAGCACAAATTATTTTTGAGATATTCCTCCATTACGGTCATTATTGGCTCAACGAGTGTAAGTTCCTCAGCTCGACAAGGCAACCATTGTGGATTTTGACTTCCTGCTTTTGCGATTTCTGGTGAGTGAATACTGCTTTCTTTAATTGTTTTGAATTTGCTTTAGGCATAACATACATCCCACACATCAAATCAAAATGACCCAGAACTAAACTAAAGTCTGTTTCAGACTTAAAGCCCAGAATTCAGCCAGGTTTACTATCACTGCCTGACTATTGCTTTTAAGCTCCATTACAAAGCTGTGAAATTGCGTTAAGTACCACTGAAATGCCAAATGAATGCTATTGCTTTATAATAATGGCCCTAAGTGGAATAATATCGATTCAGTAATATAATTATGATCTCCTGAATTTCATAAAGAGGAAACTGTACTTCCTTGCTGATTATCTTTGTGTGTGTGTTGCACGCATACATGTAGGCCTGGATCGATCAGGCAAAACAAGACATCAACACTTGATGTCTTAAACTTAGTTTAATGAATCTAACCATGAGACACAAACTGATGATCTTAAAAACTGTGTGACATTTGATAAGCATGACGGTCACCCAAATGGGATCAAAATACAGGTAAATAAACAATTCAATGCCTATATCTTAGATTGTTGGAAACAGAGTTGATCCTGTCCTGCTAGACCTTAGTCAACTAAAAAGGGATGCATGTGCCCTATTTCTGGTAACCTCCAGATTATTTATATTTTTATCTTGACCTTTTTTATCTATTGAATTTCAGGGGCAGCAGATAATGTTACATCTGCTGGATTATTGCTGGCTACCCATAACAGCTATTTAATCAAAACAATAAGAAATTATTATAATCAATGATGCAGTCAAATGAATAATAACAATGACGACTCAAGAACTTTAATGATAAATGCTTTGAGTGCAGGGTGGACTGTCTTGGCAAACTGACTTCATCAGAAAAGAAGCTTTCCTTTGAAAACCAAGCTTGCGCACTTTCAACTTCATTAACAGCTAGATAACTGATGGACATGTAGCTCACAATCACAGCTTCAACCAACTTACCTGTACCTTAGATATTGACTTACTCTTTAACCCTTTACTCCCTAAGAGTGCAAATTGGCACACAACATCATAACTTTGTGAATATTTGATAGATTTCTACGAATTTTTGCCACAAAAATTGTCTTGTGAAGATCTGCTCATTGAAGTCATAAAATTTTGACCCCCTCCTATCCAACACATGGTTGACCACCCCCGCAAGTTTTTAGTTCCTTTTTTTGGATGCAAATGGAATGCAAGACTTTTTTCA